ACTCGATCAATCGTTCGGCTCCGCCGGCGAATTCGATATCGTTTAATTCACAGGTGACGCGCGACACAACGCGACGACCGTTCAGCTCTCACCCTGATACGCCCAACGATTTTCTTAATTCATTGGATCGGTAAACTTACCCTCGACGTGGTCCCATGAATAACGGAGGAGGACATCCCGCTGAATGAAAGCGTACAATTCCGCGGGATAGAAAGGTACAATTATCGTTTGGGGGTAACTTCTTTCATCTTCGTAACGCTTGAAATCATATTCATGAAGTTTCATGAATCGCATTGACCTACACTTTAAAATTGTGCCCCACTGACGCACCCTCGGCGCCCGGCGCTTCTTCAGCCGGGTTCTTTTCTATTATGTCAAAAACGCCGAATCTATCGAAGCGTCGAATAATTTGAGAAAAATCGCGAATAACGGATTCGCCGTGCGACTTCCCCGGTTATTTATATACGTCGCGTTTTATTTCTTTTTTCTTGCGCTCTCTTCCTCTATCTCGCTCTTTCTCTTTCTCTCTCTTTTTTTAATGCTCCGATCTGACGGATTTATCGCTCGATCGGGATACCTGGTGTTCACATGTATCACGAATACAATATTGTTTGGTTTAACGTCGTCGTGCACGCCCGAATTCTCTCAGATTCTTTACGGTGTCGCGATACGGCTCGGCCATTTATTTCGATATCAAGTTTCTCACCGCCAGAGGCTTCCCGCAGAGAAGCTGCTATAGAAACTAGCAGCGTTGTATCGTGCTCGAATCTCGATTGCTCGAAGCTGCTAACGTAGTTACGTGTTTTACGGCGCGAAAGGGAATAACGACGCGCCGGCGGACCCGTGCCTTACCTCTACTACTGACCGCCGGCTACATTATTCGTTACCGCATTCGCTCGCGATCATGATCGTAACGTGACGTATGGCGAAGTGTGAAACTGTAAAAATGCGCGTCAAGTGCGCGACCTCTCGAGTGAAATCAACACGTGTAATATGTGCCTCTAATGTTTGCAAACGCGAGAAATGAGCTCGTTGAGGTCTGAATTAGAATTTTATTACGATTTATTAACCGGCTGTATACAATTTGCATTCAGCGTGTGTCTTAGTTTAACTTTACCCCATTTAACTCTGTGCTCGTTATTTTCATTTCAAACGCGTATAAATATGGAGATTCGTATTTTCCAAATATTCCTGTACGAGATACCGTGTGCTAAAAGCTACGCATAAAAAGAAAATAAGATTAAAAAAAATTTGAAAATATTTCGAAATTCGCCTGTATCAGTTCACGTACTGTTATGCCGTCATAGTGTTAAATTAATACTCAAGATCTGGTCGAGTTTTAAAAGATTTAAACGAGTATTAATTCCAAGCCGGACCACGATTTTGAATTATTGGCGAAAATTGTCAACTAATTTTTTCATATTTCGTCGTTTCGATTGCTGCATAAAGATTTCACTTGCAACACGTTCGTCTACCTTTTACCAAGCTCTTGCATGAAACATGAAAATTCAAAAGAACTTTTTGATATTTCATATAGTTGCGCGGATACTCTGCGGCGATTATAGTCATCCTCTATCTGTCAAAAGGAGCTCGGACCACAAAGTTAAAATTTTTCTGGAACACATAATATTGGTCGACGTACTTTGACGCATTTTTAAAATAACTATCCTTCGCGCTGTGATATGTAAATTTGAAATATTTCCGAGGAGTCTTCTCGAGTTTGAAATTCACGTTTCGATTGCGCCACCGTTCCGCACGAGTTCTAAAATTTCGCATTCAATAATGCATAGGTCATCACTTGCTTACCCGGCGCGGTGTTTACGGGGGGAAATAAAAATAATAAAGAAAAAAAAAGAAGAAACCTCGCCGTAAAAAACCGTGTACGTCCATGTCGCGTAAATAATTTGTCGTCCGCCGCCTTGTAAGCCAAGACGCGAAGAAAACAACGACGACGGGATCAATTTTCCCCCGACGAGGTACGCCTTTATTTTTCGCGCGATTATCGGCGCCTCGTCGACGTCGAGGGCCGAAAGTGAAAGCCGATCCGCGCGTTTTCCGGTCCCTTCGATCGGTCCGCAAGAAGGCAAGCCGGTGCTCGACAGCAGCACGGAGCCACCGTAACCCTGTACCGCGCGGAGATTGAATTATTTTTCTCCCAGAATAATTTCGCCATAAAATAAGACCAGTACGAGGGTGTATGCGCACCTATACCCACACACACACACACATATACTCTCCATTCGCGGCATCATTCGCCTCGAGAGAGCACTCTCCTCTCTCTCTCTCTCTCTCCCTCTCTTCTCCGCTCCTCGCCTCTCTCTCCCATTCTCTCCATCTCGCTTCGTTCCTTGCTTCTTGCCGCTACTTTTTCTCTCTCTGTCTCTCTATCCTTCCATTCCACCCTGAGGACGAGGCCACTCGAGGCGGGTAACGTCGCTATTTTCCCCCACGTCTCCTTATATTACATTCTAGATACGGCCGCGGGGGCGACGCGGCGATGGAAGCTGAAAATTCCTTTCCTCTCCTGTTTCTGTCAGTGAATATCTTATCATAATACGATCGGCACTGCTTTCGCGAGATCGTCGGGGGACAAGCGGCGGACGCAGGGACCCCGCGAATCCCTCAACACAATCACCGGGGCGGATCGCCGCCGCCTCATCCGCCGTTTTCTATGTACGGAACAACCGCGAGGAAGCCAGCAGTTCAGGCCGGCGTTTCATCGGCGTCTTCGGCATGAGACGGGCGCAGCTTGCAACCGCAAGCTTTTGCGTTCGATGCGGCAACCGATGGCGACGACGACGGCCACAGTCGCCGGATGCTGCGCGCCCATATCGCCCGGGAGCATGCCTCGCCGATGAGACGGTATTTGCAAACTTTGTGAGCTCGCGCGCACGTTTCGATATTGCGTCACGTGCCACGCGAGATACAGCCGAATATGTTGTTCGTTAAACTTTCCGTTTTTTCCCTCTTGCCGCGCGTCCCACCTCACCACCCCTGCCCCGCCCAGCCGAGCTGCGCCGAGTTCTTGTACGACGCGAAAGCGTAGCGCCTCGTATAATATGCTCGCTTCGATTTTGCACTTTTTTTTCTCTCAGCTCGTATTTGCCGGGCTCGATTTTACCTTGCCGCTGCCGTCGGCACTTTCGCGAAAATAAAAAGCGTGAAGGTGTCGCCGAAGGTGGGAGGGAGTTTGAAATCAACGGACTCCTCTATTACAGTCGAGTTTGACAGCTCGGGTGTATCAATTATGTAATTCCGTTCTGGAGACGAGAAGATGAAAAGTGAAAATATTTCCGCGCGAGAGCCCTGTCGAAATCGCGTAACTGCACTCGACATTGAACAATGAGGCCTCGCTCTCCGGCTGGCGTTTCCGCGTGCGATTTTAAACGACCGAAAAGGAAACGCGTTCGCCGGGATTCCCAGCGATTGAAAAATCCCGTTAATAATCTCCCCGAATAACGCAAGTGAATACCGGAGGTGGGAGAAGAGGAGAGGAAGAGCGCTTTCACGGAATAATTTCCCGCGAGTCCGCCTCCTTCCAATTGTCGTCTCTCGCGGATGGCTCTAATACAACTGATAAATGTGTAATTTCTGTTCAGTTATCTTCGCGCTCAGATTTGCGTACAATATGCGCGAGCAGTGTTCTCCCACACACAATTTCGCACGAGGCATTTACATTAGATGCACGCACGCACACACGCGCGAGCTTATTGTGAGCTATGGTACACGCCCGTGGCGAAAGCCACGAACGAGGTATTACGCGTTAATTTAGATTAACGCTATTGTGATGAAGAATTCATCAACGCCTCTCCTTCCATTTTGATGAATATTCATTATAATATTCCTCACTTCGTAACACGCCGTATCAGTCTTGTGACGCCTGTGATGATTCTTATGCATGGGGAGACATTGAGCGCATGCACGGCGCGGCGCGACGCCTGACAGGAAATTAAAACTATACTTCACCGTTCGAAATGCGCGTCATTATGTGTGTCAACAGGCCGTTAATCGTCGCGATTTCGCCGTCATGTGCGTGAGTAAAAACGTTCTAACGAGGGTAACGAATCATGAACATCGACGGGGCACCGCGCCGTTCGCCTCGAGAGTGACGCGAAAATATTCGTCAAAAGCGGACTAACCCTCGCGCGCAAAATGGCCATTTATATCACGGGGCCGAGTATTTAAAACGTTATTACATGCAACGCGCGTAATCGCGCCGCGACATGACGTATCGCTTGCGCGCGACGTATCACCGATGTATCAATAATGCGTCGCGAAATATTTATTTTAAATCCCACCGTATTATTGTCATAATGAAACGCGCTCGCCTTCGATTGGCACGATAACCAATGTGATAATTGTAGGTCTCCGTCGTGTAAATAACGCGAAACTCGCGGAGTGAATGCCGCGAACATCGCGTATACTATAAATGTGCGACGATACGATTGGTTTCTTTCCGCGCAAATATTGCCTAACGTTTGCCGCGCTGTATTTTGCTTGTTTTGCAACGCGACCGATAAAACATTCAACGCACGAACAATGCACGAACAATGTAAAACTTGCGCTAATTCAGACTATAACTTCCGTTACTCTGTCCAGTACTTCGGAGAGCTTTGGAACTTCAATTTTCGATATTTCATTACCGGGACACTTAATGGCGAATATATTAATAGGATGACAAAACGCTTGATCTCCTACGAGAATCTCTCGCTGAGAGATCACTATGTGTATAAAAAGTGTAGAGTAAAAATTGCGATCATAAAATTATAGAAAGCTCTGTAAGCGCGAAGGAAAACGATTAATTTGTTTTTCTGCTTTTTTTCACGAAGTCACATTACGCATAAGGCAATTAGAAACATAGTCGAAAACACGACTTCAATTTGCATCCTATAAGCGATCAACAGTGGGTCACGTGTGCGCACGACTGTGGGAATCTCAAGATCGCTAAATTGAATGAGAGAATCGTAACGCGCAGCCTCTCTCTTCTCCTCTGTTCGCAGATGTGCCGAGTTTCTCCGAGCCGATCGGCAACGTGACCGCCGCCATCGGCAAAGAAGTCGCCCTCTCCTGCACCATCAAGAAAGTGGGAAATTACAAGGTAAGCAGCTGGCGAATTTTCGTGAAGAGAGAAGAACATGGCGGCGACGCGGGGTAACGCAACGCAACACGACGCAACACGACGCCAGTATTCGCGTGAAAGCAAGCACCGGGGTGCTAATTAGTTAGCTTGGAAACGCATAAGCGCGTTGCCGGCGATAAGAGAATTTGAAATTCGGATAATCCCGCGGAAATAAATGGGTCGGTCCGGGCTGTCGCTGGCAGATGTCAGAGTGCCGGTACCTTTTTGCGCCTTTTTTCGCCCTGCAGCCTCTCGTATTTTTCCATGGACGCGACTTTTCTGCTCGTTCGCACGAAACAAGTCCAAGTAACGCGTATCGGTACTCGTCCCGCAGGACAGAAAGAAAGAGAGAGAGAGAGAGAGAGAGAGAGAGAGAGAGAGAGAGAGAGAGAGAGAGAGAGAGAGA